GTTGCATAAAATACAATTCGTTGACCAACAAAGGTAGATCGCGATATTAAAATTATTGTACAGTCATGGTAAATTGCGTCATCTTATGCTGTGTTATTTAGCTCTCGACTTCATGTTATAACAAGATTTTCCAAGATCGCGTTAATTTTCGAAAGAATGCAGTATATTCCACGACTGAATTTAAATTAATAATATATATAACAAAAGTTAATAACAATTTCGTTTTTATTTGCATAAAAATTTCTTTAAAGAGAATATTACAACAAGATATAACAAACAGACAATCTTTAAGATTTATTTCTCGTTTTAGTACCTTCTAGTACTATGTTCGCAATAATCTTCCTGTAAAGAGCAATGATTTCGTAGTTGACATTTATATTGGCATTTTAATGCCATACTGTAAATCATATGTAATAAAAGGGGTAGTCCGCGAGAGCGAACTTTGACTTTTACGAGCGGCCATTAAATAACGTGTTCAATTCAAGATTCTATATGTATGGGGTTACACCCGTTACACCCGGAAAGGGTAGGAATCACTTTTATGTAAAGATTATAATAAGAATACATTCTCTGAGATCATTCTTTCATTTAATAAATTAAAAGATCTATTTAATCAAAGGTTTATCAATTTTAAAGAATTAAACTTTCGTGAAACAAGAGAATCTCACTATAACTCACTTAAAAATACAGAGGTTAAAAAATAACGATAGATGAAATTGCCTTTAACGAATTAGAAAAAGTCGTCTTGGAAAATATTCAGATTTTACTTTTCTTTCTTTCTGTTTTTATTGCAATATCTCATAAATTGTTTACTCCAGATCCGCAACCACAATTTTAATGAGAATGCTTTACGAATTTAGAGTTTTCCCAACAAAATTCCGCAGAAAACTATCACTTGTGGAACTTATTAAGTTGTGATATTAAGTACTTTCGTAGTCAAACCTCTAATTAAAGTTTAGAAAAGAAAAGATTCTTTAAAATTAAGTAAACAACAGTTTTTCATTTAATTTCACAAGCTAGTTTAAGAAGCTCCTCATTTCTAATCGCTTACAGACAAAGAATTTTCCGTTTTTTTACATATTATAATTTAAATACTCTATTTTTCCTCGGATAATCTAATTAAATATAATTTCAAATCGGCCAATGAATTATTAAAAATCGACCGGCGATTCTGGGACATCCTGTGAGATAGAATCAATATCGTGTCCCGTGTTTGAATTGACAAATGGCGCTGTCAATTTCGGTCGTACACCCTTTGAACTAGAGAGAAATCTCCTCTCGGGAGACATCGGGATCCTTTCGGATCGATGAACATTTCGTGAACGTCTAACGGATGACACGACGGCTGTCTACAGCGATGTGTACACGCGGTACAACGTTCATACGCGCGGGACAAGGAAACGCACGCACCACACACGCATAACACACACATATACGTATACGCAAACACACGCGCGCGCACGCGCGTGTATGGACGGTATACACATCGGACGAGCGGACGATCGAACACGTATGTAATACAGCCGTGCGGTTCGTTCGACCAATGAGATGAGCTCGGACATGCGAATGATTATATTGAATCAGACTGTTATGGTTTCTTAGGGATTAATTAGGGAAGAGATCCTTGAGACGATTCCCAATAGTAACTTGTATATAGTTAAATAAATAGATTAAAAGCAATTCGTATGCTTGATAAAATTTGCGTATTTAATACAGAATGGAGATAAAAATTATTAAATTGTTCACCTGCTGATTTAACTACGCAAGTGACTAAATAAAATTATGAATAATTAATATTTTGCGCGACAATTTTCGACACGCAAAATAAATTCCAATTTATCCGATTTAATGTAGCCATTCCTATAGTATATGCTATTCCTATTATCGGCAAGATAATTAATTAAACCTATTCAAATCAAATTGGAGATTAGGCGATTATGCATAATTGAAATCATTAATTTCAAATGAGATACTATGCGAATCGCAAATTAGTAAATGAGAGCTAATTGTTGTTAATGAATTCCGCATAATTTTCATTGCCTTGGAGCGCGATAATTGCTCGAGCGAGATTTCAAAGGGAGAAGTTTATGCATCTTTTATCCGATATTTAATTACAATATTAATTAATATTTTACACGATATAAACTCTCTTATAGAAACAATTTCATTGATTTATCAAATTTTAAAATGAAATGTTTGATCGTGTAAATCTACACTTTATTCATTGATTAGTTCCATTAATTAGCGGTTTATTTTATATCTGCCGAATGGTATAATTGTATAATTAAATGTGTTAATGCTGCATTTCGATATTTACTGTCAGCAACTGTCAGAGTACTGTAAACATATAGTATTACGTGATGTAAAATATAGAAAAATATAGATTTTCAGTAGTGACTGAGTGAATATCGGAATGCAGCCATTAATGAATAACAAATAAAAAATATTAAATAATTATATTGAAAAAAAAAATGTCAATATCTACGTCTGACTACAAAAGTTGTTTAAATAAAGGTTAATTTTAAAGTGCAGTAATAATGGAATAATCTTCAAATAATAACACTAATTTGTCTTTTATTCTCTTGCAGCAAAAAAAGCTCTTTTTATCTTTTTGCAATAATAGCTCTTTAATATTATTATATTATATTAATGAGATATAAATATAACATCTCATGTAATAATGCAATGTTTTGTTATTGTCAGACGTAAATATTAATATTATCAGATTTAAAACATTAATGGCAAATCAACTAATTGATCGATATTTGAGAAGTTTAATATACATATATGTATATTATACAGGGTGCTTATAATTTTGCCTGATATTAATAAGTTCCAACAGCTAGATTTACGTAAATTTGGAATAAATTACCATTGTTTTCAAGAGTATAACAGTCCACAAACTACATTAGCAAATGACAATACGTCACCGAGTAACAGTCTGATCGACTAATCACTCATTCACGAAGCTCGTATTCCGCGCTCGCTCGAATTCGTGCATTTTAACACACAGCACCATACAATAGGGGTTGTAACACTTCTGCTACCGAATTAACAGCGATAACAGTCGTGGATAGTAATTGGCCCGCGCGAGCGAACGGGAATGTAGCTAGAGCAGCAAATATATGCCTTTTGACTGCGTGAACGTTGCCTAGGGTTATAATCACTTCTTGGTTAAGAGCTCGCTCTCTTGTTAATACGCGCATATATAACACATCTTATAATTGTATACACACGCGCAGTTGTGTGTTGAGCGCACCGAACAGAGAAACGAAAAGGGAAACAAAAAAAAAGGAAAAGGAACGGGCGACGACGGGAAGCGAAAGACGTGCGGCGCGTTAGGTAAAATCCACCACTGATCGCTATACGCTGAATTACATAACTGGCTTTGACCGGTATAATTTCAAGCGCCATTTAACTTCCGGTGCATAGTAGAAATAGTAATTGAAACGTATACTGATCCTTACACATCTTGAGTATCGCAATAAAGATATCAGCTTCACGCATCTGTATAGCATAGAGGAAACACGGTGTTGTGGAAAAGCGGATTGATTCATTGTAAGCAGAAGTAGTTTTCAGTAAATTAAGTTTGAAATGCGGAGTTTCATGTTGCTGGCCCAGCTGTGTGTATACGACTCCTTTTTCTTCCTTTTTATTTCGCGGATTAACCCACTTTTGCACAACACCGTTCGGAGATTCTGTAATTATCGAGATTATACCGGCTCCGAACCTTGTACTGGGTGGTGTCGAAGATAATGAGAAAAAGATAGAAAAGGTGTTGATGAGCCGCGCTGCCGCGTATATTTAACGTATAGAGATCAGTGAGATTCCATTGTCGAACTATTACCTCTCGTTTTACCCTAGATGTATTAACAAGCTCCAGCGAAGGAGTTTCTTTTTTCCATAACGACGATCGAACGTTCAAACTTCGTTTACTTGTCTCTTTCTCTCTCTCTCTTTCTTCTCTAGTCGTGTACGCATACGCTCGCGCGTGAATGAACGCGTATGCGACACATCGCATGATAATCTTTTATTTCAAGATATTTTTTCTCTCATTATATCAGTAACGATCTTTTTTTCAATATACATATGTACAGGATATCCCGAAACAATCGCAACGAACGATTCCTTTTGCCTATATATGAATCAGTTAAATTGACTTTTTTTCTCGACAAAAATATTCTATTGATTAGCATTTGTTTTTTTTTTTTAACAACCTTTGCTCTTATAAAAAAACAAAGTAGCATATATGTATAAATAAAAAAAATATTACACTCCAGTATCTTGTTAAAAATGTACTGATACATACATTTATAAAGTTAAGACTATATGTCATGCGTAACAAGCTAAAATTAAAATTTAAGGCTCAAATAAATATTATACACATCATAATAGATGTGCATTTTTAAACATATTAAAATAATTATGTCGTCATATTGACTTTGAATCATCTTTTGTTTAAAAATTTTGCAAATATAACTTTTTTCTGACACAGATCCGTATTTAAATTTTATATTTATAACTGAATATAGCTACATGCTCACAATAACAATAAATTCAACCTTTACATAAAAAGATCAAGTTTATTATATTTTTCTAATACTAAAATGTGTGATCTGAATGCGAATCATAGCATCGGCAAAAGGGTTGGGCGGTTAGTTATAGGCATCCCGTATATCCGTGTCTTGGAATTAGAGCAATCGATATCGTTTTGTCGTTTTGTGAACTGGAAAGAGCAAGTCAAACGTTACATAACATATGTAACAATTGCCCTTTCGATTTCCGAGTCACGTAAAGATATCGGTTGTTCCAACTTCAAGATATCGATACGTATATGTACGGAGTCCTTTTCTCTTTCTCTCTTCTACCTTAGGAAATTTCCGTTTTCGTTTTCTGTTTTTCCGTTTTCCGTTTCCGTTTCCGTTTCGTTAAGTTGTTCTCGACGCTCCCGGGCAGCCGGTGCGCGCCTTTGTAATACGCCCCTTTGTGTATGTCGACAGCTCTGGAATCGACAATAATCCGACGGTCTTTTACCACTTAATGCCCGGTTCGACGGCGCAGACGAACAAGTTTCATACGTTTTACCTTCAGCAACGCGCCGAGCAAGCGACAACTTGGGCCGATATTAAGGTTAATCATCCGCTGGACTATGAGAGCATAAAAGAGTACAATCTCACCATACGAGTGGAGGTATGACTTGTCTTTTATACGCACGCTTTTCTCCAAGTGAAAAAACGTAATCGAAACGTCTTTTAGAAAAAACGTAAAGATATCTTACCCTAATGCTGATAAAAATAATATAATCTAAAATTAGATGACTAACGATTGATGACAATACAATTTTAGCACGATAATATTCTGCCGTATCGGCGATAAAATGCCAATTTCTGCGCATTAAATGTTAAATGTAAACAGGCGCATCAAAGTTAAAATCTAATGTATTCAGCGTTAAATATTATAGATGTAATATAATCTTTTGTAAAGAAAGAAAGATTGATATAATCAAGTAATAAAATATATATCATTGCATTAGATTGTTAGAATGTTGAATGCCCGTAATCCAAGAGAAGCTCGAAATACATTTAAATGTAAATGCATTCGTATAATTTTGCACGAGAATAAAAACGAGGAGTCGGCATCAAGTGGTACACGATGCATAATCGTCTTGTAATCGCGGCCAACTTAATCCCACCAGAATAATGGAGCTCAACAACTGGCTTCCGAAGCTACCGTGTACATCATGCTGGAGGATGTTAACGACGAGATACCGCTGTTCACTGAACGAGAACAGGAAACCGTACTCGAGGGTGAACCGGTGGGCAGCAAAGTCACCCAAGTGAACGCCATCGACAAGGACGGAACGTTCCCCAATAATCAGGTAAATTGATATCGCGCAATCAATTCCGATACGTAAGAAACAGAGCATGTTGGCTCTACACGTTTGTTCTAAATTCCTTCTGGTGTATTTTAATCGTGAAACATACAAACTGAAATATAAATTGAAAAACATACAGAAATCACATAACACATAATCTTTTAATATGTCTCTCAATTTTTGCATAAATATGTAGTCAAAAGATGAACGTTTCATGATAAGCGATTTAAATTTCCATGTTTTATTCGGTTCAATAAACGATATTGCGGTATTTCTGGCATGGTTTTGGTTTTGATTTAGAATACATGGGAATATATAAATGCGCATAAGTACGACTGTATTTTTGAATTAATTTAAATCAATTTCATTATTAACATTTATCCACTTTTTTAACTCCACTACTGCAACTAAATTTATCGACGAAGTACAGAGGTAATTTAGACACTTGTGTCTCATATTCAATTATTATGTAAAACGCGATCAACGAAAAGCGAGACTGATTAAAATTAATAAAAAAATTTAACTCCGGTCATAATGAAAGATAGCCAGAAAAGACGTGTCACGTTTGACACCGGTTTTCTCATTTCTTTACCGCAAAGATCCGATTCCGAATGGATTGATATAGCAGGAGAATTGCGGCGAAGCCGCACGAAAGAACCAAAGAACGTGCTCGGTATCGTGCCATAGCGGGGCACTTGAACGGGACTTAAGGGAGCTCGGTTGTCAAAGTCCTGATTGAGGAGAGACGAAGGGCGGTCGGGAATTGGGGGATAAGGGCGGTTACAGGGTGCTTAGACGCATATAGCCATATAACTTAGACTGTCGCGTCGAGAAACTTTAATGTTTCATGCGGAAATGCATTGCCGTCGTTGGCGGAATGTTATAAACTCCGTAACGCAATTTCGACGAGCGCGTTTGAGTGGCGTTGAATTTATCACGTATGATCGCATTAACGGATATGCCAGCGTTGCCAGCACAACGCGAATGTATACCGTGCCGACATTTAATCGCGTGATTATCACTCGTTTTACATCGAAACCCGGTTGCCATGCTACCGAATGCATTTTGTAATGCCGATACAACTACCGATTATCAACGTGCTGAATTAACGAGACAAGCTACGGGTTTCTGTGAGAGACAAACCGGATGTATTGTGTAAATAATCTTCGGATCTCGGTTTAAATCGGACTAATTTCTTTTTTCAATTCAAAAGCATAATAGTTGGGATAGGACTCTCCTTGCTATTTTATAAAAAGTTTTTTTTTTATCGACAGGCTAATGAGCATTTCATTTTATAACTTTATTACCGTTTTTTTGTTCATTAAAAAGATATCACTTTTTGTAAATATTATTATTCATTACTTAAAAATGTTATATTTTTTCTTATAAATTATATAATTTACAATCTTTTACAAGAAACGATTCAATCTTTTTTATCTAAAAAAGTAGGAAAAGATTTTAATTCTTGTGAAATTATCTTTTTATTATTTCTGATCTTTAATCGTATTTTCAAATTTTGTCGTATCTCTTTTTATATGTATCTCTAAGAGAAACAAAAAAATGAAAAGCATTATAGCTATAGAGAAAAGCAAGTTATACCATATATCTTTACTTTGGACGAAGGAGGAGAGGGGGGGGGTTAAACTCATTTTTTCTTCGTTAAACAAAAATGAGATCGTTCTTAGCCAAGCAGCTCCGCGAAAATGACGTGCGATGCAGCCGCTAAAAAAAGCTTTACCTCGGCAATAAACGGAAGCGGAGCGACCGTGAAATATCACATGGAATTTCCGGGTGGAAATTTGCCGATTAAGTGGGGTGAGATATGCGCGACTGTAAATTTCATCACGGTTACGAGAAAGCGCGTGAAGTTCTTCGCGCGCGAAGGATCTGTCAAATATGCACATTCTATTTGTGCATACGTATCTACTATGTGCACGGACGTAGGGTTTGCCGGGTTTGCACGACGGAAATGCGCACAACGGCCGAGACAAAAGGGACACGACGAATGTGAATCCGACATGCAGTCGAGCGCGGTAATCGCGTTGCTGCAAACTCGATATCGTCTTTTCTGCGCTCTTTCTTGCATGCCGACCGTTATCGGCGATCGTAGCAAATAGAGAATTTTGCAAGAGTAAAAAAAAATTTGATTGCACACAAATAATATAGAAGATAAAATTCGGTCGTAAATGTAAAGAAATTCTCACATTCGTGTTAATAGAAGCTGGTCTAATTTAATGTAAAACTTATAATTGCGATAAGAAAACATGTAATTATAATCATAAACTAATTATAAACATGTAATTGATATATCAATTCCGTTAAAAATTTGAATTTGCTAATGCAATAAATAGAAAATGTTAATCGCAAAATGTAGAAAATTTAGATAAAATCCAACGAAAATGTGCTACACGATGCATTTTGGAATTTGCTGAACACACTATGTAGCAAGAACATCGTTAACGTCGATTTGATCAAGTTTTTTCGTTTCGTCCGTTAATTAAGAAATTACAAAGAAGTACGGAGTACGTTGAAAGAAAATCATTCCATCATTATACATAAAATTGCACCGTCCTGTTCGGGTTACAGTTACATTGTTTGCCGTTTCATTACGGTAAAATTGGAAGGCATAAAGTGCCCCGACGCGCTCGCAACTTGTCCGAGTAAGGTCTTACAGCGCGAAATTTACTCAAATTTTCTTTCGCGATAGCCATTTCGAAGTTTCACGCTCTCGACGCCATTATACCCCGGGCGATAGTATTTTTATGCGTTTCGCGTACTTTATATACATACATGTATTTTAATATGAAACAGGGAGTTTGCACGAATAGAGGTAAAGCGAGTTGGATTGTAAAATAGGTTATACGCTCACAATATATATTGCACGAGGACCGAAATTTATCTCGGATCATTCAAATCGCTTTACGGTGGATATGTTAATAATTTATAAAGTTCACATAAGGTTGTGATTAATTAGATCTAAATAAATTTTTATAAATATTATGATAACAATAGAGAGAAAAATATCATTATTGTTGGAATACAATCGCGAAATATTATTGTAACGCTATGCTATACAACTTACTAAATCTTTAGACACATTCTATAACTTACACAGAATGTCTTAAAATTTTTAATGAATTAATCTCATTTGTGGTGCGCCGTATATCGCAGAATATCATCATTATTCTATTAAGCAAACAAGTCTTCTTGTCTTTCTTCGCTAATGGTGCGATATCCAGCGGAGTTATGACATTCTTTGTCAGTTACTTGCGCATGCGAGACACGTAGGTGGAGTCAATAAACTTCGCGTTATTTATCTAGGTCACATATTACGTGGTAAACAGCGACAGGAACGAGGGCAAGGATTACTTCGAGATCAACAGGGAAACGGGCGAGATCTTCACGAAAGTAATGTTCGATCGCGAGAAGCAGGGTGCTTACGCCCTCGAGGTAGAGGCCCGAGACGGAGCACCTTCCGCACGACCTAACAGCAACGGCCAACCTAACTCAGGTAGGTGGTACGGAAAATTTTATTTAAAAGCTGCTGCTGCTGCCTGTGCGCTAGTGCGCGCGCACTATAAATTTCTGCTAAATAGCAGATCGCAGGAACGATATATTTCTATTCGGGTTTATGAGCTATTCAGAACGTGCCCATTATACGAAGTTACCGTATAAAACGGTACCATACAGGAAAAAATCAGCTAGAAGTTATAGGCGAGTTCTAAAAATATAACTTATTTAATAGATATTATATAAAAAGCCTATTATAAAAATGATGCAACTTCCACGGCAACAATGCCACGGCCATCATATATTTTATGCTATTTTGTTCGTTTTCAAAAGTACATGGAAAATATTCGCAATTTTTGAAATGCAAGAATAGATTAATTCTCAAGGAAGGATTAAAAGTAATGTTTGCTTTTTAATTGATTCTGTATAAGGCATACGTGATTTTACACAGCTGAAATCAATGAGATATAAAAAGATATAACAGAAATATATTCTGTTCCGTGCAAGTGTTTCATAAAGTTGAGTAAATAGCAGGTTGTAAAAGAGTAATATTTATATTCACGCTGGATATGTGCAGATCAGACAGAATTGCCGTATAAAATTTAAATAGAATGTTCGTTTATCGCTCGATCAGCACGATTCAATAGCGAGAAAAATAGTCACGTAGTCTAAAATTTTACATATTTGATCAATTCACTCGGAAAAAAAACGTGTTAAAAATATAAAAGATATTAATTGCATTTTTTATTTTT